TCTACGGCTGGTCACAGACGGACAGGTTCTCAGATCCATACTGGTGCCTCAACGATGTCAGGTACTCCAAGGGGGACTCTGCCTGCGATCGCCGTCATTTCGAGAACGTTCATCGTCTCTGCATTTGCATGGGTTCCAAAGCCATTCGCTCCTTTGACTGTAAATACCAACTCACATAGTTCGGCCCCTGTGCCACACTCTCCCGCATCGCCCTCTCCTCGTACCCCCAAACAGGAGTCCAATGCAACGAGCAAGCAGGAACAAGAAGCTCTCAGAAGTCCCATCAGCCCCACTTCCGCCAATCAAAAGACATCTCTACCGGTGACTTCTGCGTCCCCTCTCTCCTTATGGCACTTCCTCAGTGATCTTCCTTCCCGCGTCCATGGACCACGCCAAAACTTGTATCTCCTGGCATTCTATTTCTGTATCGCCACTTTGATCACCTTTCTGCCGTTTACCTATCATTTCGTTTGGTACATTGATACTCCCCGGATCGAATTTGTCGCTACGCTATATCTGGCAGCAGTATTACAGGATAGCAAGAACGTCCCGGGTTTAAGCAATAAGGAAAAGGTGAATATTCTCTTTATCTATTATTCTGCTTGTGCTGAGCTTTCACTAGCGCCAAAGAGGTATTCCCTCTTTCCAAAGGCTAGTCAATCTTCGATGGCTTGGTCTGCTGGTTCTCTTTGTAGATTTCTTCAATGAACTAGTTTGGAGAGCAATTCTTGACGGAACTATGGTCTTTATTCTCTGGAGATTTGATACCCTTGTTTGATGTACTTCATTCGTTGTATCGATTGGGTGGTGCTCGGAGATTGAATTCATGTACATACCCTGAGCCACCTTCCACCTCCACAATAATATATGGCATCGAATCACCGATACCGACGTAGTGATGAATCTTCGACATATTCAGAAGTGACCGAGATAGATGACCTGCTTGCCTCAGAGTCATCCCATATGACTTTTAAGGGCTCGCAGCGGGTATATGGGCCAAGGTGGATGCATCCCTTGATACTTACTAGTGTCTTTCTGGGAACTCAAATGATTTGGAGTACTGAAGCCGCTTATGGTTCGTTTCTATCCTCTTATCCACCGAGCGTTCGACGCGTTGTTTCATTGAACACGCACCTTCCAACTGTATGACCGTATAAAATTCGGAAACTAAAGCCTCAAACAGCGTCACCGTTTCTTCATTCGCTTGGACTTTCAAAGGCACAGACTGCAATTGTCTTTTTGGCGGCTCCTCTTTCTGGCCTTCTGGTTCAGCCATTGATTGGGGCACTAGCAGACCATTCAAAATCAAGATTTGGCCGTCGACGACCATTCATGCTAATAGGTTCAATTTTGTGCGCACTCTCCTTACTAGGCCTAGCGTGGTCGACCACTATAGCAAAGGTACTTGGTGATCTCCTCATGTTCCGCTATAACTTAAACTGTATTAGACCCAAGCCCTTGGGATCATTATTGCCATAACTACATTTTACTGCGTAGATTTCACCATCAATGCTGGTTAGTTCTCGATATACCCGTTACCACTGAGCCTCTGACACTGGTCTAGTCATTGCAGCAGATAGAGCTCTCGTGGTAGATATATTACCACAAATGTTACAGCAAACCGCCAATTTATGGATATGTCGGATGACAAGCTTTGGTTCATTGATTGGCTTCTTCATGGGGCATCTTAAATTAAGTGATCTAGCGATCATTGGCACCTTAGGGCGAACGCAACTCCAAATTCTATCAGCCCTTGTGGCTATCGGATTGGTTTCTTTGCAATTCATAGTCAGCGGGCTTGTGAAAGAAAAGGTTTTACTCAAGGACGCCTCGAGGTGCGTTTGAATAGGGCGTTTTCAACAGAAACCACCCTTCTCTAACGATTTAACGTCACAGACAAACCAATGCACCCAACAACCGTACATTCAAGGCTATGGCAAGATTCATTCGCCAATATACAAAAGATTTGCCCGTAAGGATAAAGAATATTGTCAGTGTTTGGAACGACAAATATGCACTCATAAACTGATACAAAACCTAGTGCTGGATTTTATTCCTGTAATGAAACATTAGTTTCTGTCAGCAAGTCCTGATATTTGTATAGGTCGTGGATTGGGTGGTTCCCTTTCATGTTCTTTGGAGCACTATGGATAAGTGAAATTTTCCAGCGGGAGAATGCAGGGCGACATATGGAAAACATACATGAACAAGCTGCACAAGCGGCTGCTCGTAGTATGATGTATCAGGCGCTTGTGGCCTTCTTCTGTTCAGTGTTTCTGCCATTGGTGGTCGCTCCAAGGCGAGAGCAGAAAATCGTTCTCCAGTTGCCTCAAAGGAATGAAGCTACGGGACGGAAAGTCCACCGATTATTTCAAAAGCGATTGGACCTCGTCACTGTTTGGCTCTTCAGTCACGGTATCTTCGCGTCATGCCTCTTCGCTACTTTGTAAGCATGCCCTTGAAGCACTAGATGGTAATGGTAATCACCTAATCTTTGATTTCTTTTGCAGGTGGACGAAAAGCCATGCTGGAATAACTGTGATATATGCTATCAGTGGATTCCCTAGTGCATTGCTTCATTGGGCACCACATGCACTTGTAAGTGGCTTTGGGCTTCGGTACGACAGAAGCCAAGGTTGAACGTCTATCTAGCTCGGAGAAGCTATTCTAGCAGAGCAAGAGCTGGGTAGTCCGTCTTCTGAAGTGTCTTCCTTGATGAGCAGAGATGAAGTAGAGAGTTTTGATGCCAACTTGGCCTCCCCAACACCACTGCCAACCTATACTCATGTGAAAGACAACCCAGGCATCGTCCTAGTAGGGCACCTTTGTTTTTTGCGTTTAAGATAAAGCTAATAAGCCATTAGGGTATTGCCAATGTGGCTGTAGTTTGCCCTCAATTTCTGGTCATAACACTTTCTTCCGTCGTGTTCGCGATCTTTGAACCGAACCGTTCAATAATACCAAGCTCGGTGGACATAACCAATGTAGGGAGTGCCAACAAATTTGATTCTTTGACCATTATATTTTTGTAAGTACGACTTAGAAACTGACCTATAGCGAGAACTGACACCAGTACTAGCATTGGTGGCGTGAGCGCTTTGGGAGCAATGTATATGACATGGGGGATCAAGAAAGAGGGCCGTTAGTTGTAGCTAATGTAATCCAAATTTCAGGCATTGTATTTCTAGTTACAATTGAGGCAGAGATAGTTAAGCAACGCGCTTGATACAATTCCGGCGATTGTCCGGCCTACAAATCATCGTGAAAAATAAGGGTACATAGGTGTTTCTGAGATAGGAGTCATATGTGATATTGATGTTTGATGAACGAATAGTCGTGAATCCTGCGCAAGATTATCCAAGTCGAGTGAGGCTATTGGACGCAATTAAAAGGGAATTCCTTAAATTTGTGGGAGCCACGCACCATATGAGAATAAGAGTATCAAAGAGCACCAGAAGAACTTTCCCTTGCCAATAACTCGTTCAATGACCGTGTGACGTTGCCAACACCTTGTCTGACATGGTCTCGTTCATCGCCCTCTGGTACCCAGCCCAAAAAACGACTTTCAAACTTGTCTGAATGCCATCGCAAAAGTGCTTCGCGGATACGGTCCCTCTTACTTTTGCCCGACGAGTGCCATTGACTAAGGATGAAGGCACCAACGGTGTTTCGGGTAATAGCTTCGGGACCGGCAGGAGGATTCAGGACAGGCCATGGAACAGTGGAGAATGATAGGGCAGTGCGTGTTCCAGTCTGAGCATGCGACATAAGACGTTTCCATTTCTCGTCATACGCTTCCCAGGCATCTGCAAATCGTTTCGGCATGTTGGACGACATTTGGTTCGTACGGTCCCTAGCTTGGAACCTTTCTGTCATGCGGTCATTTTCTTCTCGAATTCGTGCCTCTGCTGCCCTTCTTTCCTCTTCTTGTCTCCTTTCCCTTTCTTCCTCATTTCTGGAGGCAGTATATTGCCTGTAGCGCCGCTCCTCTTCGAGTTTTGCCCTCGCTTGTCTGTTCTCTTCTTCCTGGCGTTGTTGAGCTTGTCGTCGGCGAAGGGCCTCTTGGGCTCGTAGCTCTTGGAGGATCTCATTCTCCCGCCTCGCCTGTTCTTCCACTAGCTTTCTCTCTTGTTCACGCTTCTCTTTTCTTTCCTGTTCTTCCTTTGCGCGTCTTTCTCGTTCCTCCCATACCAGTCTTTCTCGTTCTTCCCTTTCCAGTCTTTCTCGTTCCTCCCTTTCCAGTCTTTCTGCTTCGTCTCTAGCCCATCTTTCCTCTTCTTCTCTTTCCTGTCTTTCCTGTTCCTCCCTCTCTCGCCTCTCCTGCTCTTCCTTCTCTCGCCTCTCTGCCTCTTCTCTCTCTTCGCGCATTCGACGTTCCTCCTCTCGTCTTAGTGCTTCACGTTTTGCAGCCTCCTTGCGTTGGGCTTCTTCTTGCGCTGCCGCTACTCGACGCTCTTCCTCAATCTGGCGCTCCCACTCGATGGCAGCATGGTCCACGTGTTCATCAACCGATTTTTTCCCTCTTCTACGTTGTACTTCGCCTTTACGTCGAGTGGTTCGCTGGGTGACTTCGGGAGTGATATCTTCGTTCACGTGGCTTTCCGTTTGCTTGGCTTGCTGATCCTCTTGTTCCTTCTGCCTGTTAAGCTCAGCAACTTCTGCCACACGACGCGCGACCTCTTCTTCTTTTCGTTTTACCTCCTCTTCCCTTCTTCTGAGCTGTTCTTCGCGCATTCGGAGATCTGCTTCAAGATTAAGTCTCTGTATCTCTTCCTCGCGGCGCTTGAGGTCTTCTTCTCTCCTCTTTAGCTCCTCCATACGCCTCTCTCGTTCTTCATCTTCCTCGCGCCTCCGTCGCTCCTCTTCTTGTCTTCTAGCCAGATCATCACGTCTTTTGCGCTCCTTCTCCTTCTCCTCTTCCTCGCGTCTCTTGCGCTCCCTTTCCTCTGCCTCGCGTCGCTTTCGTTCTCTCTCTTCGGTCTCGCGTCGTTTTCGTTCTCTCTCTTCGGCCTCGCGTCGTTTTCGTTCCCTTTCCTCGGCCTCACGTCTCTTTCGTTCCCTTTCCTCTGCCTCACGTCTCTTGAACTCTCTTTCCTCCTGCTCCTTTCTTGCTCGTTCCTTTTCTTCTTCTTCGCGCCTTATTTGCTCCTTTTCTTCTTCCTCGCGTCTCTGTCGTTCCTTTTCCTCTTCTTCGCGTTTTCTTTCGTCCTCCTCGCGTTTTCTTTGTTCCTCTGCTTCCTTTTCAAGCCTTCGTCGTTCTTCCTCGTCTTCTTCGCGTTTTCGCGCTTCCTCCTCTCGTTGTTTTCCTTTGTCCTTGGGTCGACGTCTTCCCTCGGACTTCGATTTAGTTTCTCGTCGAGAGGGTCCAGTTTCTGATTCAGGGGAGGGTTGCTGTGCTTCGGGGTGGTAGGATTTTGATTGAGCTGACGTGACTTTGGCAGGAGCAGGCGATGATTTAGGAGGAATGAAAGAAAGTTTAGATGGTGACGCGGAACGAGATCCCATAGGTGGAAATTCGGGAACAGGAGGCTTCGGGAACGAAGAAATAGAGGGTGTCGACTTGAGGCTAGGGGCATCTGTCACGGTGGAGAAGATATCAGAAGATGACATAGAAGTCTTTAGTGGAGGGCTAGGACGAGGAGTGGTACCAAATGCAACAGGAGGGCTGACACCGGCTGCTGAGCTATCTGAACGGCCTCTGCCTGGTCCAGATGGCTTCGTCTGTATGGGAATTGGCGGTGAGGTTTGGTCACTCGATTTCCAGGCTGACTTGTTGGGAGACTGTCCGACACCAAGAGGTCCAGCAGGTGTTGAGCGTGGAATAGATCCAACTGCAGGTATGGCTGTGCCAGAGTTGGGAGTCGTGGAGGATGTAGAAGGTGAAGACCCACTGGCTGTTGCAGCAGTGGCCATTGCATGCCATTGTTGAACTGAAGGACGTGAAGGGCCAATGTTGATGGGGCCTACACCACTTGAGCCGGAATGAGGAAGCGTTGAAGCACGAGATAAGGTAGATGCTGGGCTATGCGTTGTGCTCGTCGAACCTTCCGATGTGATCTTCGATGTCGGGTTCCAGCGAGGCTGTTGACTGGGAGGCGAACTTCCAGGAATACCAGTAGTAAGCGAATTCTTTCGTAGGTCATTGTGCAGCCCAGTAGGTGGTATGAAGGTTTTTTCACCCATCGATCCACGTCGAGAGCCAGGAGTGTCAGATGATGTCACCGTGGTATTAGAAGAGGCGCCCGAGGCGCCCGACCAACCACCTGATGAGCGTGTTGACTGGGTCCCACTGGAGAAAGTAGTAGAGGAAGAGTTTCTGAGGTGTTGATGTTGTGGGAGGGTCCCCCTTGGAGTACCTGACATCGTTGAGGCACCAGTATGGATCTGAGAACCTGTCCGTCTGTGACCAGCCGTAGA